GTTACAGGATGTCCCCTCCTTGAATACCAAAATCTGCAGATGCTCAAATCCCTGATATAAAATGTTATAGTATTTACATATAACCCTTACACATCTTCCCATGTACTTTAAATCATCTCTAGGTTATAAGTAATACTCAAGAAAATGTAAATGCTATGTAAACAGTTGTTACACTATATTGGTTGTTTAATTTGTATTATTTTTTACTGTTGTATTGTTATTTTTCACCAAATATTTTCAATTCACAGTTGGTTGAATCCACAGATGCAGAACCATAGATGTGGAGAGCCAACTATATTAGCACCTTTCTAAAACAGGAAGAATTCTAAATTCCAAATTGCATTTGGTCACAAAGATTCCACATAAAGAACTGTAGAATTTTATTATGCTGATTATTTTACACAAATATCTCATATACTCCTCATTCGGTAGATATTATTCCCATTTAACCAATGAGGAAACCAGTCTTTGAGTGGTTAAGTAAATCGTCTAAATTCACATAACCAAGTAACAGATGAGAATGAGGACTTACTTCTTCAACAAAAATTTACTAACCATATACTTTCTGTTAGGCACAATTTCAGATACTACAGTGGTGAATAAAATAGTCAAAATCCCATTAAATTTATAATTAGGAGAAGAACAAGCAATATACAAATATACAAGTAAAATATAAAGTACATCATATGGTGATAAGCATCTGAAGAAAAATAAAGTAGCTAATTGAAACAAAGAAAGGATGGGTAGGCCTATTTCAAATAAGGTAATAAAGGAAGGCCTCACAAGTAAGAATTCAAATCTGTTAATCTGACTTGAAAATCTTGCTCAGAACCAGAATACAGAAGAAAAGGATACCCTTCAGACTTCAAACTGACCTTTATCTTGCTATTCCTTTCTTACAATCAGTATTGAAGCAGTCTTTTACCTCTTATATTTTTGCAATTGTTTTTGGTGTTCAGCACATCTTCTCTGCCTCTCTTCTTGCTTAGCTAGTTTCTACAACTTCTGCAGACTCTAGCTTAGCGCTTCCTTTTCCTAAGAATTCAAATTCCTCAGGACTAGGTTTGCTGCTCCTCTGATGTCCTCCCCAAATCCTCTGAATTTAGCCTTATCTCAACAATTACCACAGTGTACTACAGTTGCCTCTTTACTTGTCTGACAACTCTTCTAGATTACAGGTTCTTTGAAGGCAGGGATTATGTCTTTTTCGCCATAAATGTTGGATGGATGTACAGATGACTTTCAACTTAAGAGCAGAAATGACGGGGATCTAAAATGTCACGTTCAGATCAAATGTGGTGAATGCTGTCATGAAAATGTAGTTGTTACTAAAAATCATTTGGAATAGAAGAGAACCAGTTAATAGAAGTGAAACAGACTTGAGACAAGGTATAGAACTACAAATATGGCAGACACTGCCTAAGTGCAAAAAATAAAAGGTAAATTAAACACTGAACAATCCTAAAGCCATTACTACTTGGTTACTTGGTTTGACTGTGTAAGATGTTTAATTATGTTCCAGATTAAGTCTCTAAAATTGTCTTGTTTGTTTATAATTACTAAGCACAAAAGCCTGGTCAACTTAAAAAGGCAGCACAGGTTGCTGGATAGTGTAGACAAAGTAGGTGAAAATCTGCAGTGCTCTATGTAAGGTCATAAAGCTAACAACTGCCACAGACAAAAAAAAAAAAAAAAAGTCTAGACAGGAAAAACAGTTATTTCACTAATTCTTAGCTGTATTCAGCTCCATAATATCTTCCCTACACTAAATTTTCTTTATCTATTAGAAGAGAAATTCTTGAGAAGCCGGCAGTTATAAACTCATCATCACCAATGGACAGCCTTAAGACTATGTATTTCAAGTAATGCTCCAAATATACCCATTCACCTAATTTTTTACACCTGAATGAGAAATTATTTCTATTTTCATTCATATTGTTGTTCATCATGCTCCTTTTCACCAGTTACATATGTTTGTCACACTTCATAGTTTGCTGCTTTCTAAAAGAGTAAAACCTTCTCCTGCCTCACTGAAGAATTAAAATAATTTAAAAAGGAGTAACCCATTACCTATCTTGGAAGGAAACAAAGGCCAAAAGGATCTGTGTGGAGCTCAACAATGGGAAAACTCTGCCTGGTCCAGACCTTATGTCTTCTCTTATGTGCATAAAGGCATAGTTGGTGGGAGAGGATGGTCATTTTTCGATTCTCTTTTTTTCATGTGCTATATAGCTAATTATTTAAATATACTCCAAATTTAACTGGCGTTTAAGGAAACATTTATTTATTCCTGAGACAAAGAATTACTTATTTTATAAGTTTAGCCAAACGATTTCTTTTCTTCTCACATAACGAACTGAAGTTTAAATCAAATCTTAAATTCAACTCCCCATAATTAAATTGACTTAACAGTTGTACAGAGTGCTTCTGATTGATAAATACAATGATACTCCAGTTAATGATTTCACACTGATGTTGTAAAGTTTTTAAATGATATATTAAAAACTTTAAATAAGATCTATGACAACTGTCTCAATTATTTTTCAATATACTTCAACTAAAAAAAAAATTGCCAAATTTAACAGAATATTAGTTTGCAAAGTTAAACACTTTTTCTTCAGTCTTACTGTAAGCTAGCTCTTACTTATGCAATGGATGCAGTATTATTGCAAGACTTCTCCCCATTGAGCCAAATTGTCACTGAGCAACTTGTTTGCATAATTGTGCTAACCAACAAGATAACATGGCTTTCTTCAGAAAAATCCCCTGTGTATAGATAAAAGAAAAAACAAAAACATACATCATGTAAGTGTTTGCTGGTGATCTGTACCCTCACTAAAGCAACTCTTATGAAGGCTAATATAAGAGAAAAGGTATATTCAGCTAAGCAACTTATATAATTTTAAAAACTTAGGATTCTCTTAGAGAATGTTCCAACCATATTTAGCCCCCAAAAGAAAAAAAATCAATTTATTTAATTAAAAAGTATAATAAGATTATGGACCAGAGGACCAGTCTCTAATACAGGTATACTACTAAGCTATTTCTTCAACCCATAAAGAATTCATGGTCTCAAATGTGATTGACCTCAAAGCTAAATCAGCAATACTTCCATTCTCTTTGCTTTTCTCCTCTGCAAATATTCCACACTTTTACCACTCTCAAGCTTTCAACCTCATCTCTTTTCTTCTAACTCTCAGAAAACAACCTCATCTCCAATTTGACAGAGAAAACAAAAAAATTACCTCCACCTTTTATGTCTCGGTCAAATACAGAGTGTATCTACACTCACCATCATCTTTCATTCTTCCATTCTCAAGCTGTGTCCTTACCTAGAGCCAGTTCCTCTGGGCTTTGGAGAACCACACATACAACCACCCACACCCACATACACACAAAACCAACCCCACTCCACATATATATATAATCAATGCCAGAACAAAGAGGCATCAATGTTCTTCCTTCCTTATTTCTACAACACCTTGGACTACTCTTCTGTTTCTTTCAAGGCTAGCGTACAGGAAATGAGAAATAGACTTCTTAAAATAATACCAGATTTAGGAGATTCTTATTTTCCAAAACTTTCAACCATAGTTTTTTAGTAAACTTGGAAATATATAGGTGATTCCATATATTCTTTAAAAAATCATATATAATACATTTAACTTTCTTTGAATCCTTCATTGAGAGTATGTTCTCCCAACATAAAGTAAGTCCTATAAGCAAATACAACTTTTTTTAGGATGTGGTTTCCAGGAGCATGTTTCAAGCACACTGCTTATTAATAAAAGTTTTTTATGAAATAAATTCAAAAGTAAGTCTCTCACTTATTCACTTATTCAGCTACCTCTGACATAAAAGTGGTTAGCAGAATTATTTATATTCTCAAAGTGCTTCACTACCATTCATATTAATCAACTACTCTACCATGGCTTTCCCATGATTAGGGAATCCTTTTTTTGTTTGTTTGTTTGAGAAGGTGTCTTGCTCTGTCATCTAGGCTAGAGTGTAGTGGCGTGATCTCAGCTCACTGCAACCTCTGCCTCTTGGGTTCAAGTGATTCCTCAGCCTCAGCCTCCCGAGCAGCTGGGATTACAGGTGCCTATCACCACGCCCGGCTACTTTTTCTATGCTTAGTAGAGACAAGGTTTTGCCATGTTGGCCAGGCTGGTCTCGAACTCCTGACTTGAGGTGATCTGCCCCACCTCATCCTCCCAAAGTGCTGAGATTATAGGCCTAAGCCACCACACCCAGTCGGAGAATCCTTTTATCTCATTGTAATCACTCTCGAAATGTTACAATCAAGTCTTAGCATTTAAATATATAGGAACAAATGCAAAATATAAACATATGGGTATTTGATTTTAAAATTAAGATATGGTAACAAATCACTTTCCTTAATAAATAAAACCTGTATCTCACAATACACTTCAATTACAAATTATGGTAAGTAAAAAGTTGAAAATGGAGTAAAAAGGCAAAAAAAGGAAATAAAATTAAAAGAGAAACAAACAAGAAAGGACAAATGAGAAAGAGACTTAACTAGTTTTAACAACTCTTCACTAAACTATACTATATGATTCACTCTCTCTGAGAATTCTTGAATTAATCACTGTTCAAAATCCTTAATTCTTAGTTCCCCTAGCAAAGTAGTATCAGTACAATATCAATACAGCTTCCTTAAGCTTTAACTGTAAACAAAGCAGACTTTTCTCTAGTGTTTGAAACTCTAAGTTTCATTTTATTTCCAGAAAACCTTTTAATTATAAAATTAATAAAGCCAGATACCCAAAACCCAGTTTATAATTTTTCTACTCTAACACTTCTGCTTGAAGTAAAAGGGTATCATGAGGCAAAACTAAAAACAGAGACAGAATAATCAGAGTTAAAAATAATATAAAAAGAAAGGATGCTACTGTCTTCATATATATATATATATATATATATATATATATATATATATATAAAGATAGCCTTAAAAAAGAATATAAATAGAAAAGAAATCCTTTGCTATTACACTCAATATTCCTTTCATGAAATTCTCCCATTTTCATCTATGTAAAATAAAACAATTATTCGTCCTCTTTCAGTATTGCTATATAAACATATTGTATGAAAAAGTTGCAATAATTTTTCTTAAAAAAATTGTTTGGAAAAAGCTTTGTAACTTAAGGCTACTTTTAAAAAATAGACTATTCCATAGAGTTGGTACTTTACAGATCAGTTTTATAAAGAATATGAAGCATAAGACACACCCAGAGTTCAACTCCTTGATGTTTGTTCTTCTAATGTTCTATTTCACATTTTACAGGTGTTACAACAGCAAAAAGTACATTAGTACCAATTATGATTGAGATGGAAATCATATTTATTCCTACCTGAGAACTCCATCTACTTGGTCTTTGGTATAGCCTTTTCCACCTTCACCACTACCAGATGTGCTGTCCTTTGTGCAATTAGGCTTGCTTTGATCACCACTACCTGATGGTTTTCGGCAATGAGGGATATTTCCAGCCGTGCTTCCATTTTTCATAATTATTTCCAATAGTGCTGTAAATAGATAAAGTATACTGTGCCTGTTTACATCAAGGTACATACACAAGATCCTGAAAAGAAAGTTTTAAAGCAGACAAATTATGAACTATGGTCTCCAAAAGGATTCACCATAGAATCTTTTTAATTAGCATGCATGCCTATGTACTTAACTGTTTACAGAATACTAATCACCATCTAGAAGTAGATATGAACTTAAGAAAGTTAAAGCTACTAACCTGAGATTATAATAATTGAATTATTTATGACAGAATTTTATTTGTCATATCATGTGAAACTGCAGATTAACAAAGAAAAAGAGGTAAGTCTTTAAAGGAGCCAATGAGATCCTCCACAAAGTAACAGAAATTTAGACTTCCTGTTTAATTCTCAAAAGCAACAATGGGAGCCAAAAGACACTGAAATACTATGTTTCAAATGCTCAGAAAAAAATAAACTGCTAACTTGAGTTCTGCACTAATTTTCCAGAAAGTGCACAAGATAAAAACATTTTCAAACAAATGGAAAATTTATCACTAAAAAATTTTCACTAGAGGATACTGTAGTATATATATTTCAGGCAAAAGGAAAACATTTACAGATAGGCTAAGATGCAAAAAGGAATGGTAAGCAAATAGTGTGGTAAATGTGAGAGTAAATATGAGGAATGAGTGTAAAAAATAACAGTTTTACCTATGATTTGTTTTTTAATAATCTGTGGAGGAAAAGCATAAAAGTAGGGGTAGTAAGAATGTATGAAATAAGGTAGGCCATATATATTCATAATGGTTCAAGATAGGGTAAGTGATAGGGTGAGTGTCAGGTAAGTGATTACACTGTTTTTTCTCCTTTTGTGTGTGCTTGAAACTTCCCATAATAAAAGTTAAAACTAAACATAAAAAATTTTAACAAAACTACAAAGAAAAAAAGAGAAATCCACCATCATTGTGGATTTTAACACATTTCAATCAGTAACTGACGTAAGGTAAATTTTTAAAAAATCATTAAGGATACAGACTACTTAAACATCAAATTTATAAGCTTTATCTAAGAGGTATAACGTTATACCCAACTGGTCAATATTCCTTTCTCATATGCCCACATTATAGCTAGACCATAGAGTGGTCCTCTTCAAGTCTTAAAAAATTAGTACCATATATATACCACAATCTATGAGCACAATACAGTTATGTTAGAAATCAATTACAAAAAAAAGTAAAAAATCACAAATGGGTTGGAAAAGAAAAAACAAATACAAAAAATCTAGACAGCTTATGTATCAAAGAAATAACAGAAATCACAAAATATTTGGAATTTAATATAAATGAAAATACTACATATCAGAACTTATGGGTCAACAACTAGCTATCCACATGCAAAAGAATAAATTTGGACTACATCACATGGGACACAAAAATTAACTCAAAATGTACCATAAACCTAAATGTAAGAAAGCTTCAAAACTCTTAGAAGAAAATACAGAAGTAAATCTTCATGATGTTCATTTAGAAAAAACATTCTTAACTATAGTAACAAAAGTAAAAGTGATAAAATGAAAACAGAGAAAATGGGCTTTATCAGAATTTAAAACTTTTGTACTTCAAAGGCTATCAACAACAGAATGGAAAAAAAATATTTACAAATAACATACTTAATTAAAAAAATGTATTCTGAATATATAAGGATTTCTTACAGTTCAGTAACAAAAAGATAAACACAGTTAAAAAAACAGGTGAAGGATCTGAATAGACATTTCTCGAAAACAAACAAATGGTTAGTAAGCACACAAAAAAAGTTGCTCAACATCATTAGCTATTATATCACCTCACACTCACAAGGATGGGTATAATCCAAAAGATGAACAATAGTAAATGTTGAGAAGGATGGGGAGAAATTGGAACCCTAATAAGTTTCTGGTGAGATTGCAAAATGGTGCTGCTACTTTGAAAAATCATCTAGTAGTTCTTTAAAAAATTAAACATAGTTACCACTTGACTCAACAATCCCATTTCTAAGTATACATCCAAGAGAAATGAAAACATACTATACAAGGACTGATTTACAAATGTTCATTGCAACATCATTCATAATGGCAAAAGGGTAGAGACAACCAAATGTCTATTAACTGATGAATGGATAATGATATATTCAGACAATGAAGTATTTTCAAAATTAAAATGCATCAGAGTACTGATATGTGCTACAACATGGATGGACCTTGAAAACATTATGCTTAGTGAAAGAATCCAGTCACAAAAGATCATATACTATAAGGTTTCATTTACATGAAATGTACAGAATAGGCAAATCTCCAGAGACAGAAGGTAAATGAATCATTGCCAAAGCTGGGGGTACAGGGGTGGGTGGAACTGGGAAGAAATGAAGAGTGACTGATAATGAGTAGGGGGTGTCTTCTGAAGAAATGTTCTAAAATTGATTTCCATAATGGTTGTGGAATTTTGTTAAAATACTAAAAAAACCACTGAATAGCACAATCGAAATGAGTGAATTGTATGGTGAGTTAGGGCTCAATAAAGCTGTTTTGTTTATATACATACAAATTATATAAAAATAAATATGTATAAAACATAAATATATGTATAAATATATTTATATATAATAAAGATATATATATACTCAATTCGGCACCAATCTATCAGTTATTAATGAGAAATTTTTTTTATTTTGGAGACTGAGCCAGGCTGAAGTTTAGTGGTATGATCTTGGCTCAATGCAACCTCTATCTCCCGGGTTCTAACAATTCTCCTGTCTAACCTTCCTTAGTAGTTGAGACTACAGGAGCCTGCCTACATGCACCTGCCAACACGCCTGGTTATTTTTTGTAGGTTTTTTTTGTTGTTGTTTTTTGTTTTTTTTTTTTTAGTAAAGATAGGGTTTCACCATATTGGCCAGGCTGGTATCGAACTCCTGACTTCAAGTGATCTGACTGGCTTGGCCTCCCAAAGTACTGGGATTACAGGCATGAGCCCCGCACCCTGCCAATTTTTAAACTATAGTCTATATTTAGTCTACAATCACAATGAAAACCAGCATGGTCTAAGGGAGATAGGTAGTGGTTCACAACATTCAAATATAATAACTTTGTGGGGATTCTGGACAAAAGGTTATGACAGCAGCTTAAATTTTAAATCTCTCCAAATTCCCTCATCAGAGAAAAACCTCATGCACAAAAGCCCAAAATAGAAGAAGGTGGGGACAAACCACCAACTGCCACAAGATCTGTGTGGGTAGTGGAGTATAATAAATGGGCATTTGCCAGCACACAGAACATAAAAAATAAAAATAAAAATAACCAGCAGGGACTCTATGTAGCACAGCAGGCAAAACTGGGAAAAGTGTGCCAAAAGGAATGAGTTTTGCTTACTACAATAGTACACAAGTACAAGGGTCCACAATAAAGCTTTAAGGGCATGGAAGGCTCTAGTCACTACATGCCCTCAAAAAAAATCAATCAAAGCTCTCTTCCTGAGCAAAGGCACACCAAGAAGAAGCTGCTGGAAACAGAACCCAAGAGATAGGGAAAAAAGAAAAAAGAGGATAGGGAAAACAGAAAAAAAAAAAAAAAAAAAGAGAAAAAAGGAAAAACAAAATATGAAAAAAATATGAAAACAGAGGATAGAGAAAACAGAAAAAAATATGAAAAAGAAACTCAAGATAAAAGTAGGGAAGGCTAAAGGAATGAAATCTCATTTAGCAAGATGACATTTTTAAACATTACATAAAAACAGAAGGATCTCTATGTATTTAGGAAGTCTAACAGCACATAAAAATGAGTAAAAGAAAATGACAGAAGTCAAACCTAATACAAAATTATAAGAAAAAAAGGATGAGTAAAAATTAAACCTCTGAAGACAATGAATACATACCACAAACACCTGCTGACAAAACAGATGAACACTTTATTACTTCAAGCTGAAAAGACTAAAAATTAATGCATGATATAAAAGAACAATACATATCAAAATTACAACAACATCAGAAATTAGCTAGAGGCAATGGATCACACCTGTAATCCACCATTTTGAAAAACTGAGGTGGAGTTCAAGACCAGCCTGACCAAGACGGTGAAACCCCGTCTCTACAAAAATACAAACATTTAGCCAGGCATGATGGCAGATACCTGTAATCCCAGCTATTCAGCTTCTTGAGAGGCTGAGGTGGGAGAATTGCTTGAACCTGGGAGGTGGAGGCTGCAGTGAGCGAAGATCATACCACTGCACTCCAGCCTGGGCAACAGAGCGAGACTCTGTTTCAAAAAAAAAAAAGAAAAAAGAAAAAACCAGAAAAGGAAACTATGTATCAAAAACTTAGCTGATAAAACTCAACAAAAAATAAGACATTAAAAAATCTATTTAAAAAAGACTAAACTAGAAGAAACAAAGACTCATAAATACAATGGATAATGCTTTAAGAGAAAGAAAATATACCAGAACGGAATTTAAAAAAAAATTTTTTAAGTGAAAAAGACAAAAAAAAAAAAATCAAGAGTAAACTGAAAATATTAATAATAAAGATCCAACATATGTACAATA